TCCTCTGACATGCCCATCACCTACTCTTTCTCTACTAACACAACCACCTGCCACCCCCTCACCTCTCGGACACCTCCACCACTGCTCCTCTCTTCTGGCATGCCCACCTCCCACCCCTGTCCTTGGTCATATATTCATCCCCTTCTTTTCTTGCACGCCCACCTCCAGCCCCTCTCAACGGACATGCCCACCTTCCAGGCAATCAACTTTCATCACATTGCCCCATTCTGAAGGATCGGTGGTGATTGGAGAGGAGATGTTCCATGTCCATCGCTGACAGCACTGCGCCCAGGCTGCCACAAGGGGTCATTGACAGCCTAGAGAGCTCTGCCAGTCATGCGCCAATAATGGAGATTAGTTGATCATACACATGTCATTCTGGAATGTCACTTTCTGGCTGAGCAGAGCAAGCTCTCTCCACTCTCCCTTCTTTAAAACAGCAAGGCACAGTTGGGGTCTCGGATCGCACCTAGTTAGATCGCTTAGTTTCTCATTGGAGAGCACAGAGCTTAGCTGATGGGCAATAAGTATCTTAAAATGGATTATAGGTGAAGCAAATAAAAAAAGCTGAACATAGTTGCTGGCGGGTGTTGTTTTTGTCATTTACAGTAAAGCCTTATTTAATATTTTTAGGTCAACACTTGAAAGCATACAGTATATTTTATTGTATTATACAAAAAATGAATACTGCAGTTGCTGTGGTTTCACTGACCTGTCAGCTTCAGGAGAAGAGTAGCTGGAGTGAAAATGAGATCAGACATATGGAGACAAAAGACTGGTCTTCTTCTCATGTTTGATCTTCTTTAAACAACTTCTGCCTGACGTGACATCCTAGTTATCTTGGAATGCATATTTTCATTGCCCTTCACAGCAGCTACTACCCTTTCACCTTTCTGAATTCCCCATGTGAAAGTAAAAACACTGTACACAGACCTTAAGAACACAAGCAGTTAGACAATTCAGGAGCAGAAAATTGTAATATGAGTTTATCACCAAAGCTTCTGGTGGATTACCATAAGTTAAAATGGGAAGGTACAAGGATACAGCTGATGTTTCTATTGCAAGACAGACACAACTGTAGAATTTCTCATTTTTGATTAGAAGTGTAAACTAATTTGTAATTCATCAAAATGGGACATCATTGGATGGGGTTGGATAGTTTTGCAAGGTGCTGTAGGTCTTTATTAAGAAAACATCAGTGATTCAGACAGAAAATGGAAAGGAAAGGAAGAGTAGATGGTTCTATGCATTTGTACTCAGGGGGGAATATTCTAAACTAATTGGATAGAAAAAGTAACAGAACTCAACATGATTCATTACAGATGAAAGTAAAGAGAAGGAGAGTGAACAGAGAGTGGGAAAAATGCTTTTTAAATGTGTAACTTAGCGCAGGGAGGGCTGGATAGTTCTGCTTGAAGTTTGGAGCCTAATTGTGTGTAGTGCATTTCATTTCTGTTGAAGGTTTTGGTTAACTGAACAGATGATGCTGAAACCTTGGATGGTCTGCCTTATTATCATATTTGAGTTTAAGACTAATCTAACTACAAAATAAAAACACTGTGTTTGAGATACAAAACAAATATCAAAACAAAAAAATGGGTCTGAATGTCTTTGAGATATTTGGGGGCACTCTGAGAGATACTGTAAAGTTTTTGTCTTCTGCTTCAGCAGCTAGTACTGGCAAGGACATAAAGATGCAGAACGTTGTAGAGAATTAGCCCTGCTGGGCAGAATGCAGCACTGTAACGTATCCTAGTGCTGTGTTTGCCTGCTACAGATGTCTGTGCCTTCTTGTGAATCATTACACCTGATTGGTACTTGACAGGGCTTGATGAGTAGCATGTGTTATATATGACAGGTTTCAGTGCCTAAATTTCAACATATTCCCTAGATACACACTGATGTATTTCTCCTCCATCCATCTCTGCCCAGTAAATCCTCATTTTCAGCACGGTGATGGAAAAAGCACATACAGTAGATGGAGCAAAATATCACATAATGCTCCAGTACCACCTTTCTCAAATTGTACCTGTAGTATCATCATAAACCAGCTCTATGTGATAAGGCAGACTGAATTGTTTCCTGTCTGGTATTCACAATGTCTGGGGTCACTGAGAAGAAGAAAGTATTTACAGTGCAGATGGCTAAGAAGTGTCTCCACGTCTTACAGCCTAATTGGCTTGTCTTTGATCTCGTGATCCTAATTAGCACCTACTCCCCAGTAGTGGAATCGGGGAACAGCAGTGTGGGGTACGACCAGACCGGGGTCTCCGTCTGGGGGTCCCCCTGCAGCAGGCAAACTCGCTGCCCCCTGATCCTGAACCTTGTGCATCAGACACAGGACGTTGAAAAAGAGTGATGTGGCCCACAGAATTTTACATTCTGATTATTCATAATGAAAAGATTTCTGGAAAAAGCCTTCTCCTCGTCAAGTGCCCCTAGAATAGAAAGAAGGAATTAAACATTCATCTCTGGATCATTACCCCGGCCTCGGCCAGACACCAGCTGCTTGTCACTTCCGTGCTGCAGCATGTCCTCACGCCACAGTCATTATTAATTACAGTAATTAAGAAATGGAATCCCAAATGTGCTTTATTCAGCAATACGTGTAGTTTAGAATGCAAGTTCGGAAGGGATGACAACAGCCAAGCTCAGTCGGCCCCAGCCGTCAGTAATTCAGAATCATTCCTGACATCATTTCCTCCCATCGAAATCATGAATACTATATGTCAGCCCCTTTTCCCCCTCTGTCCCCCTCCTCCATCCCTGGAGCCCCTTGGTCACCCCTCTCTTCGCACAGGGGCCCTGTGTTTAGGAGATTGGTTCTCAGCCAAGTGGGTTAAGACAAAACATTTACACTGACTAAACTAGTCAATAAACCTGTTCAGCACACTTAATTTTGGGGTTTTAATATTCCCAGTGAGCTAAAATGTGAGGTCTAACTGTGGTGCCCTCAGTTACCCACCAAGACTGGCAACTCAGTGTTCTTCAAAGTGAGGCATCGATCAATCGATGAATGTAATGTAGCCATGAGCAACATTTTTCTGTTCTCCCTTTCCTGGAATAATTTTTCAAGCAGTGCACGGTTTCAAAACGCAATATGGAAATGTAAGCTATCACTGCCCTGAAATGTACCCAACAGCAATTGCACAGCAATTTTCTTGTGAAAA